CCTTAGCTGCTTATTTGCTCAGACGTCGGAGATTGTCCTTCAAATACCCAAACCCCCATTAACCATTGGGCGAAAGATGCTCTCCCCCCCCCCCCCCCCATTCAAGAGGACTATTTCAATCAGCCGTCCCCAACCTTCCCGGCTCTGTGGACTGATAGTGGCAGCTGCAGTGGGGTGAGGAGGGCGGATGGTTTTGCACGCTCGCCCACCACTTGCCTGGTCCAGTTCCCAAGAGACCACGGCCCGGTACCTTCCCGGTCGTGGAATGGGGGTTGGGGATTTAAACGAACGAACAATAACTCTTGGGTTCAATTCAGCCCAGGGAAGAAGAGACAGACCAAAAGAAGCCCCCCCTCCCTTCTTATGGCTTACGTGTCCCAGTAAGATTTCCTGTTATTTTAACGCCAGCAGCAGATGGACGAGAAGTAGGACAGCCACTTCCTCTTCCAGCATGGCAATTACTCAAGGGATACACGCTCCAACGGGTCCTTCTTTGTACTTCTGAACACATCCTTTACAAATGCCTTGTCTCCTCTTTCCTCTGACTAGCTCCAACCTCAGCTACTAAGAAGCCAGAAGACGTAGAGAGGCATCAGCAAACGGAAATGGGCTGGAATTGGGCTCTCTCAGCTAGAAGCGCTACGGTCATTCTTACTACCCAAGACGCAATGGAGGACCTGTCTGGCTTCCCTAGTCCAGAAGGAGGCAGGAAAGGGCAGCTCTTGGGTCAACAAACCATGAATATCATTAGCTAAGTTTATGTTCTAATCACTGATGCAGAAGGATTCATTTTATGGTCAAGTCCTCCTTGAAATTAATGGATGTAAGATTTGCTGCTGCTGAACTGGAGACTGGAATGTCAAATTTGGAAAGATTAAGGAAGAAAATATACCTGGACTTCATTGATCTCTACGTACAAGGACCTCCAATACCAAGAGATGAAGTCAGGTCACTATTCCAGGGGTTCTTTGATTTGTATCCCGAGTTTGTTTATTACCTTATGTGTAACTCCAGTCAGCGAACGTACATAAAAATCCTTCCTCCTATTTACCCTAAACAACAACCCTGTGAGGTGGGTTGGGCTGAGAGAGGGACTGACCCAAAGGCCTTTTACCAGTCAGGAGGCTGCAGGAATTATGGAGTATCTACCAGAATAAGGCAAAGTCATGGACAAAGAACAGGCAACGATTCCTACAGGAGGAGAACTGACCCAATGGCCAACTGACTAGAAGAGGTCAGTCTAACGTATCAATACCAAAGAAAGAAGACAAAAGTCACATACAATCCAAGTGCTTAGGGCCCCGTTTGGAAAAAGAGATGCCAGGTATTTGGAAAAGGCCGATAAAGAAATACGATCGCTGATCTACTGTATTTTGGATAACTGAGGAAGTCAAAGGAGAGCAAAAAGAAGCCAGCGTGGGTGTGATGCAGTGGTGGGATTCAAATGTTTTTACTACCGGTTCTGTGGGCGTGGCTTAGGGTCACATGACTGGGCGGGCATGGCTTGGTGGTCATGTGACTGGGTGGGCGTGACCAGCTCAATGTCACTCACGTCAAGGGGTGCCTCGCCTGGCCCCTCCCCTCCCAGCCATTCCTTCTCACCCCCAGCCTCAACTTATCTATAGTTGTGTAAAAATGTTGTTCACCTTTTTTGACTTTATCATCTGCTTACTACAGATGGACTTTCATGGGCCACTGAAAGGAGGAAATGGCTCACATGCTTTGCCCAAGAGGGTGATTGGCAACAGGCTTTTAGGGAGCTGCCAGAAAGAGGGGGAGGGGGGGGCAATGTATTTTCCAAAGCACCAGAAGGATGGAAACTGAACAGAGAGAGAAGCAACCTAAAAGTAAGGAGAAACGTCCTGACAGTGAGAACAACCAACCGGTGGAACTGCTTGCCACCAGAAGTTCTGGGTGCTCCAACACTGGAAGGTTTTATCAAAAGACTGGACAGCCATTTCTCTGAAATGGTATAGAGTTGCCCCCAAGGTCCCTTCTAAGTGTCCTTCTGTTACTCTGACATATTTCCCAGGACCTCTATTCAGAGTTTGGCATCCTCAGAGTTTTCCTGCCTGAGCAGGGGGTTGGACTAGACCAGGGCTCTTCAAACGTGACAGCTTTAAGACTTGTGGACTTCAACTCCCAGAATTCCTCCTCCTCCAGTCATGTTAGCTCAGGAATTCTGGGAGTTGAAGTCCACGAGTTAAATTTGCCAAGTTTGACTAGATGACCTCCGAGATCCCTTCCAGCCCTAGATTGCTGTGCTGTTTCAAAGAATCTTCTGAAGCCAGGGTTTGTCCCCTTCCTTCCTCTCCTTTGTTTTCTCTCTCCCTCTCTCCTTCCATGTATCTATCCACCCACTCATCCGTATATCTTTCATTTTCTCCTCCCTCCCTCCCTCCCTTTCTTTCTCTCCCTTCCTCCTGTCCCATTTTTCTTTGTCTATCCCTTTTCTTCCTTTCTCTTTTTCTTTTGTTTCTTCTTTCTTTCTCTCTCCCTTTTTCTCTTTCCCTCTCTTCCTCCCCCTCTCTCTCTGTCTCTCTCTTTCCCTCTCTCTACCTCTCTCTTTCCCTCTAGGAAAGGAGACCCATCTGAAACCCACGAAAACGCGGATTACAAGGGTTCATCCCAGCCAGTCTCCTGTCCCGCATTGCCTGACGAAGACTTCCTCCCCTCCCGCTTTTGGGGCTGGGAAATTCAAGCGAGTCATGTGCTGCAGCCTTGCCCCCCCCCCCCCCCCCCCCTCAGCAGCTCTGGGCTAGGCAGCTTTCTGGACTGCCTGAAACCTTACCTTCCTTCCTTCCACACAGAAAAATAGGAAGTGGCTATAGGCTTCTTCAAGAGGCTTTGCTGCGCTTCTCTAACCCGCCCCTGCTGCATCCTAGCCACCGGCCACGCAGGTCCACCCCACTGAGCCTGCTGGTGCAGCACTCCGAAAGAGGTGGCTGGAAATGACATTTTTCGGTCCCAGCCGCCCCTTTTTCAGCGCAACCAGACGGACATCTGCTCCCTTCCTTCTCTGCCTGTTTGTTCTATATGGCTGAGGAGGAAGAGAGTAGTCGGCCGGTTGGGAGAGACTTCTGGCGCTACAAAAGGGACGGCTGGACATATGGCCACCTACATGCTGGCTGTGCCGGGCCAGGCCGGGCGAGGCACGTCCGCCGGGAGAAGCGTGCTCCAGGCAGGTGGGCGGATGTCCCAGGGCTGCTGCGTATGTGCACTGCATATGTAGTGGCTGCGCACACAGTGCACATCTGCAGCAGCTGTGGAACATCCGCCCGAGCTGTGCCCAGCCACCACATGGTAGGGAAGGCTAGGAGAGCGACCAGGGCAAGTGAGCGACCAGGCAACCGGGTTGGGGACGTGGCCAGCCAGGGGTCGCCATGGCGACCCACGCCAAATCACTGCTACCAGTTCGCCTGAGCCGGTGCAAACCGGTTGAATACCACCTCTGGTGTGATGACCCAAAGGGGTGCGGCACAAAGGCCACACAGTCAGATAATCAGTAGGAGTCCCTTTATTAGCTCCAACTTTGCCACCAATGTCCCGGTTACCTTCTGGGCTGGAGAAAAACTCTCCCAGGAACAGCCTTTGGCTGCAGAGAATCAAGTCCAAAACATGGTCAACAAAAACTGTAACTATAAGTCCAATCAAGGCAAAATGAGGCAAGTAGTCCGGCAAGGCAGGAACAAGAATTCCAGACGTGAAAGCATGGCAATAACTCAACACAGTTGGGAAGATGCCAGGAACGCAGATAACTAAAGTCAACACAAGATAAACTCACATTTGCTCCCAACAGCTGGCACACTCAGCATGCATCTCTGTTAAACTCTCATTCCCAGGTGTGGCTAATGAAGGGAATCCTCCCCCATAAGCCATGCAACCCACATTGGTCTCTTCTCCGTTCCTCCCTCCATGCCCTGGGATGAAGAGGGGGTGGGCCTGGGTCTTCCTCTGAACTCCTTCTCCCTTGTTCTAGCTCTGCCCAGCCAGACTTTGCCCTTCCCCAGTTTCCTCCACAGCCAAGGGAGCCGCCTTGGCTCCCGGTCCCTGTCAGCTGTTCATCTTCCTCCTCAGATTCAGACTCCCAGGGGCATGACAGTGGGACTCATGGGCTACAGACTGGCCTGAATGGAGGTCTCCCCATCGAAGCGTACGAGGGGGGCTTTGGAAATCCCAGAGCTTTCTGTAGCCGTATGTGGGGCTGATCTTGGGAGACGGGGCGAAGGGATGCTGCCAAGGAAAAGGTCAGGTAAGGGAGGGCATACAGGTAGTCCTCGGCTCACACTGGTTCGTTTAGGGACCATTCAAAGTTACGGCATTAGAAAAAGTGACATGACTATTTTCCACACTTGCGACATCCCATGGTCATGTGATCAAAATTGGAAGGCGTGGCAACTGACTCCTATTTACGACCGTTGCCATATCTCGGGGTCACATGACCCCCTTTCATGACCTTCTGACAAGCAAACTTAATGGGGAAGCCAGATTCAGGTCCCAACTGCACAACCGAAGTGGTTCACTGAACTGGCGAGAAATGTGGTAAAATGGAGCAGAGCTCGCTTAACAACAGCCTCGCTTAGCAACAGGGCTCCGTATCATAAGCAGAGGACTACATGTAGTCTGCAGCTGCCCAATGGGCGGAGAAAGAGGCTCGCAAGGGACCCTCCCCAGCTTCTCAGGCTGCAAAGGAGGCTGGGGTGGGGGGTCTGTCTTGCCAGCCTTTCGGACACCTGTTAACACGGCCTTCCAGGGAGGTTACACCACCATCGGAAGATCCGGAGAGACCTGGCCCATGAAGCCACCAAGGGTCCAAATGGACAACCTCCTCCTCCTCCTCCAATAGAACCGTCTTCTCTGGTCCTGTTTCCTACCTGGTGCACCTGGGACGGCTGCCATCAGCCCTGCAAATCTCTCTTTCAAAGAGAAGAACTTCAGGAACAGCCTCCGAACCTCGCGGAACCCCGTACCCCCCCCCCCCCGGCTATCTGCTGAGCACCTGGCTGCAGTGCAGTTGCGACACCAATGGCAAGCAGATGCCCAGAGGGCCAACGTGCAGAATGCCATGACAGAACCAAGGCAACCACTGGGGCAGAATCTGACTCGGCTCCTGGCAGCCCAGCCGATGCTCACGCGCTCCTCTGGGAGCTGGGTGGAGACATCCGGAGGGGACCCACCTGGATCAGCTGCCTGGGGTAGGCCGGTCCAAGGAGCCTCCCTGCAGGGCTTCAAAAGGCAACTAGAGAGTAGAACAGAATGACGTGGTTGGAGGGCACCTTGGAGGTCTTCTAGTCCAACCCCCTGCTCTGGCTATTTCCACAGGCAGAGTAATCTGTTCAAGACAGGATGGCAATTGACTCCATTGCCTGATCTTAACTAAACCAGGACAAAAAACAGATCCTGCACTAGGGATTCTTGGTCAATTGGGGCAGATGCAGGTTGGTTGCCTGACCTGCTCCAGGCCCAACAACCCATTTTCATGCAGAACACTTTAGAACTTCGTATGAAGTAGAGGGTGATAATCTACTACCTTTTGCAAACACGGTGGAAGTGAAATATCTTTCGATTCTATGTAGAATTTACTAATAAATCTCAATGAGACTCCCCCTTTTTTAAAAAAAAGTTGGAAAGCTCTTATTAATTCAGATTCTGTAGATGATAAATCTGGTCTTGTGGCAATAAAACCGGTATTTCCAATTCATCTACTCTTAATGTTCCCTGAGGCTAAATTTTGAGATGTAAATCTTTAAAAATAGTTCTCAAATTTAAAAATAGTTCTCAAAAACCACCTGGAGTCTCTGAGGTCACAGGTGTCCAAAGCTTTTGTTTCAGCAGCAGCTACGGAGCATAAGATTTAATATTGTTCCGTATCTTCCTTAAGAACAAAGAAGGAATCCTGCTGTGTTTTTTAATCCAAAGCATAATTTCCGGAAGTAGTTTGGCACTGGAATTTATCAAACTGGAACTTCGAGAAGGAATCAGTGAAGACAGTTAATCAGTGGGACCCCGGAAGTTGTGGGTGCTCCAACACTGGAGGTTTTGAAGAAGAAGAGACTGGGCAGCCCTTGGTCTCCAATGGGAGAGGGCAGGAGGGTCCAATTGGAGAGGGCAGGAGGGTCCAAGCTTGGGAACTGTTAAGACTTTGTCTCCTGGCTGAGAAATTCCGGGAAGTGAAGTTTGGAAGACTTAAAGCTGCCAAGGTTTCCCACCTGAGATACAGGCTCTCCTGTTGAGCAGGGGCTTGGACTAGATGGCCTCTGGTGTTCTGCAGTGGGTCCTGTCTGAAGCTGAGCCCCCTCCGGCATGCTCATCAACCGCCCGGAGCCTCAGGGCCCCGAGTGTCCCAACTGCTCTCTAACCGGGACAGGCTTCGAATTCCTCTTACCGGACGGACTTTTGCCCCCTTGGGGCACAGAAGCAGCTGGGCTGAAATTCTCCTCATCTCCAGACTCTTTCGCCCCGGTTCTGACTCTTCGGAGAACCTGCTCGACCTCACCTGGCTAACGGCCCTTTTGTTTCTAACCTATGAATCTAAGAGGAGCCGCGAAGCGTTTCTTTTCCCTGCGTGCTTCCCGGTCATCAAGGTCTGGCCGCTTTCCTCCATTGCCATCGGATCCCGGGAGAGGCGGCGGTCCAAGGGCAGCCCTTCTTTGGCCGGGCCGGGGCCGGGCGAGGTTGCCCGAAGCCCGGATCGGCCCGGCCCAACAAGCGGGAAACTGAGGCCCGTTTATTCCGCCCAGCAGCGCAAAGAGCGGCGCCTTCGGGACTCCGACGCAGGGGAGGCGCCGAGCGTTCCTGCCCACCCTTTGGGGAAACCGAGGCACGGGACCCCGAGCAAAGCCTTGGGCAACCCCGGGGGAATCTCCCCCGCCCCGAGGACGCCCCCCTCCGCTCCGGCAGCGACCTTGCCAGCCACGCCTTCATCTGCGCCAGCCCCGGGAAGAAGCCCGGCCGCCGGGTCGCCTGGCAGGAGTGGGAGGACCGGCCAGGGTCCCGAAGGAGGCAAGGCAGGAACGAAACCGGGCCCCTCAACGTGGCCTTAAGTCAAGCCAGCGCCTCTTTGCCCGGGCAGCCCCCCGAGGGAAGGGCCAGGCTTCCCGGACCCTCGTGCCCATCGTCCCGCGGGGCTCTTTCGGGGCTCCTGGGGTCCCAACTGCCCCGTCCTTCCTTCGGACCGCCCGCCCAGCCCGGCGCCCCGGCCCTCGCCCACCTGGAAGGGCCGCCGGAGCCCCGCGAGCAGCGCCGACCTCTCCGCGCCGCCTCCTTTCGCGCCAAAGCGGAGGCTCCGCCCACCCGCCGCGCCCCTGGCCGGGGGGGAGGGAAACGAAAGTGAAACCGGGGCCCTCGTCTGCGCCTGCGCACATCCCCCCACCGCCTCGCAAGGGCTGCGATCGCGGTTCTGGGCGGCAGGGGGCGCCGGCCGAGGGTCGCGCGCGGCTGCCTTCCAGGGGCGGCGCCCCCGCCGGGGCTTTTGCGGGGCGAGAGACGCGGGTCTTTCCCAGCCTCCATGAAGGTCCCGCTGGTGGGGACCCCCGAGGAAGACCCCCGCCCCGCCTCTCCCGGAGGCTTCAGTGCCTCTGCCCGGCCGCCGCGGCTGCGGAGGAGCAGGTTGGCCGGAGCTCTTCTGCGGACTCTCGTGGCGCCAAGAGCCGCGTTCCGCTCCCCCCGCAAGGAGAGGAGACGCCCCGCTGCCAGCCGCGAGTCCCCTTCAAGGCCTGCGGGCTTCAACTCCACAAGTCTTAAAGTTGCCCGGTTTGGGGGGCCCTGCTCCACGCCCCGCCCCCCCCCCCCCCCCCCCCCCCCCCCGTGCCCCCCCCGCCCCCCCCCCCCCCCCCCTCCCCCGGGGGGGGGGACCCACGGAACAGCAGCCCGAAGAGTTTTTCCTCTTTATTGGCGCCTCTCCCTCACCCCGCCTGGAAATCTTATCGGGTGTCATAAATCGGGTTCTTGTCACTTTGAATAAATAAAATATAACGCCTCTGGAGAGTCTGATTGTTGCTACCCGGTTGGTCGATTGGAGCCCGTGGGCGTGTGCCAGGCTGGTGCCACCCGGCTCTTCAGCACGGGACCCCTCCGGTTCCTGCTTTGGAAGCCCCTCGGCTCCGTCCTGGGCCTCCCTGCCTTCAAGGGTAGCTGTCGGCGTAGGAGAACTTTGGGATGAAGTACTTGTGCACCAGCTGCTGCCGGGCAGTGAAAGTCCTTGGCGCTGCCGGACTCTTGGAAAGGGATGGAAACGGCTGCAAGGTGACCTTTGGCAAAGGCAGCTTCACGAAGGGGACGAAGCCTTTCATGAGGTAGCGGGGGAAGATGAAGGGGAAATAGAAGCCTGCGTTGGAGGAAGGAGACAGCAGAGAAGGGAGGGAGGGAAGGAAGGAAGGAAGAGCTTCAGGCCAGGCCAGAGACGGTCTCCTGCCCGGGGCCACCAGGATGATGAACCAGAGGCAACCAGGAGCCTGCATGGCTGACTGTCCACAGGCCGCTCTAGGGCTGGATCGGCAGCTACAGGGCGACTTTTAATCAAGGAAGGAGAAAACCCTCCTGGCTTTCCTGGACCTTCTGCTGGGTCATGCCCCTGTTGGAATCTGACTCTAGTGGTTGTGGAGGAAACTGGGGAAGGGCACAGGCCGGATGGGCATTCAGAGGAAGACCCAGGGCCATCCCCTCTTCATCCTAGGACACGCAGGGAGGAGCGGATAAGGGAGAAACGTGAGTGGTGTGGTCTACGGGGGAGGAAGGGGCCCTGATCCCCTTCATGGGCTGCTTCATGGGAGGACTGGTTAAAAGGACAAACTGCACATGGCAAAGTTACTGGAAGCAAACCGTGCATTATTCTTGTCGAAGCTTATCTGTGTTTTGGCTTCCTCCCAACTGTGGTTGCTGTGTTATCTGGTAGAAGTCTGCAATTCATCATCCTTGCCTGATGTAGTAATTCCTTCAGTGTGGTGTGTTGGGTTATTTATTTCAAATTAACTTTACTTTGGGTGCTAACTGCATTTACTCCAGTGGTGGGATTCAAAATTTTTACTACTGGTCTGTGGGCATGGCTTGGTGGGCATGGCAGGGGGAGGATACTGCAAAATCTCCAGCCAGAGGTGGGATTTGCCGGTTCTCTGAACTACTCAAAATTTCCACTACTGGTTCTCCAGAACTGGTCAGAACCTGCTGAAGACCACCTCTGATTTACTCCCTCCGTAAACTGTTTTCTTTACAAGTTTGATATCCAGCCGAGGATAACTGGACATTGGGGCCAAGTTGGAGGCATTAAAGGGAATTTATTCTATTTTTGTGACTTGGTTATTTTTGTGTCACGCCCCGGGTCATCACACACGGACTCCCTCCCTGGGCAGAGGAAGCCACCAGCCACTGTCCTTTGGCTGTCTGGCATTAGGTGGCACGGGCGCAGGTGGCACCAGAGTGCAGCAGCCGCAGTAGCACCAGGCTTGGCAAGGAGGCAGCCAGGGAGGTGCCACGCCCTTTGCAACCATCTCACCCGCCAGAGGGAGGAAAGGTGGAGCCCCGTTAGAGTGATGGAGCAACACTCACGCTCAGCAATCCTCGTTCTCAGCATTACGTTGGTTTCTCCGAGGCGCAGGATCGCTTTGGACCTGTTGCAGAAAAGCCAGAGCTCGTACAAACCCAGGGCAGCAGAATCCACCCACCGAGGAGGTCGGAGAAGGTCAAATGGACTCTCCGGCCCTCGCAGAGGCTGGCCAGATGCCACCAGTGCTCTGCTTATGCGCCGGATACCAGATGTTGCTCTGTATGCACGGGCCGCAGCTCTTCCTGTGCAGCTGGGAGGGGCAAAGGGGCAAAAGGGGCTGCAGCCTGAGAGAGAGTGTGAAGCAGCAGACGGGTCTGCTCCAGACTCTAGCCCTCCTTCCCCGCGGTTGGGTGGTGCTTTCCCTCTTCCTCCAGAGCCATCCCAGGGCAGCCGGAAGGTGGGTGGGCTTTCTCGCCCATCCCCTCAGGGGAAATCCACCGAGTCCAGGGGCCGCCAACTTCCCGCCTCTTGAGCGTTTGGGTCCCAAAGCAGCAGGGGAGAAGTCTTGTTGCAACAGAAGCGGGGAGGGATCGCACCGGGGGGGGGGGGGGGGGGGACTCCAGCCCGGAAGCCCCGCAGAGGCAGGAGCTCTTGGCTTGGCCAGGCCCTCAGGTGAGCAGCTGGGCCGCAGGTTGCCCAGATCCTGCGACTTACTTCTGAAGAGGGGGCAACGCCAAGACTGTGTCCCGGGGGGAATCGGCTCTCAAACAGACGGCCTTTTTCAGCGCCTCCAGTTCTCTCTCCAGCTGCTTGTCCGTAAAATGTTGGATGGCATCAATGGGGCGAACGGGCTGAGGAAGGGGAGAGAGGAACATGGCCGCCACAGGTCAGCAGGGCCCAAGAGGAGGCAGCAGCTGCACTTCTGAGCTTCGTTTTCTTTGGGCCTTGAATCACAACGGCCACCGAGGGAAAAACAGGAAGCCCGAGAGCCGCCAGGTGCACCGCTGCACCCTGAACCTCCTCGCGGAGCTTCCCAACCTTTCAAGGGCAGCCCAGTGTAGATTACATTACGGTAGTCCAGACAGGAAGTGACCCAAGGTCTGGGGGGCTACGCGCGTGGGTGTGACTATGCAGGGAGAATATGGAGGGCCTTGTTTTACGGTGATCAGGAGTCCTTGGCGCTCACTGAGCTGGGTCATTTTCTTGAAGACCTCTCATGACCCAACTAGGTAACACCATCAGCACTGAGGATGTTACCTGGTTGGATATGAAACGCCTGCAAGAAAGCAACCCAGCTCAGAGAGCCCCAAGGGGAGCTCATGTCAACCCTGAGCTACAAGCCTTTCCTTTTATTGATTAGCTTATTGGTTTACAGTTATTGTACAGCAAATCCAGTCAGTGTGGTGTTTTTTACTCCTCAGAATGAAGTGGGGGGGGGAATCCTGAGGGCCGACTCACCCCCTGGACAGCATCTCCTGATTCTCCTACCATCGGGCAGGAGATACAGAGGCAGAGCCAGCCAGACAAATAGGCGGAAGAACAGCTTTTATCCAACAACTTTATCCAAAAGTTTAGACTTTTAAACAAAACACAAGGGCCCCAGGCAGCCCCCCCTCTTCCCCCTCAAAGCACGGGACGCCCGGCCATCTCCCAGCCCGGCCCAAGGTCCCTCCCAGGCTGGGCTGTGCACCATGGGTGGGCTTCCCATCAGGAAGGCAGGGTGCTAATGGGCCCCTGAAGCGACAGGGGGATCTTGAGGGCCAGACGGAGCCTCACCTTCTGGAGGTCTTCCAAGCTGTGCTTCCCCTGCCACTCCTCCTCGCTTTCCGCCGCCTCCTGAGTCCAAAGAGGAAGGCAAGGCAGTGAGAGCCCCTCCTGGCCACTTTCCATCCCCTCCTGGCAGCCAATCGGAGGCGCCCCCTTGGGGGAGAGACGGCTGCCTCCCTGGGCACCTTGGAAGGCTACGGACTCCGTCACGGGGCCCAGGGAACCACCGGGAGAGCCGGAAGTCGGGTTAGGCCTAATCACGGAGACCATCTCAAAACAGCCTCGATGGCACATGACCAGTCCAAGGCCAAACTCTGCATGCAGGAGGTCCCCACCATTGTGGCTGCAGATGGTTCTCGGGGTTCTGGCTGCCCCAGCACCCCATGGTCGCAGGATCGTACCCTGGATGCTTGGCAACCTGTGTGCATTTGCCACTGGTTCTCAAGCACCCCACCATCACCGGTTTGCCACCTGCAATCTTCCTTGCTGGCTTCCCCAGAAAGTCAATGGGGAAGCCACCAGAGAAGGTCACACGTTGCTCCTCCCCCACCCATGCGCCACCTCAGCCCCTCTGGCCTTGCTCCACACCAACCACTCCGGCACCACCCCCTCTTGCGCACCCTTCCTGAACCTCTTGGGGACTCTTGTGCATCCCCTTTCACCTGCACAGCGCCTCTCATGCACCCCTCGTAGCCCTCCCCAGCAAGAGGGTGAACCCACACGAGGCCTGTGGTGCACCCTCCCTGATCCCGTGGCAACCCTTGTGCGCCCTCTTGTGCACCGTCCTCGACCCTCCCCAGTCCACGGGGCACCTCTTGCGCAACCCACACAGTGCCTCTCACACGCCCTCCCGACCTCTCACGCAACGCACCCCCTCGCAACCTCCCCAACCTTTGCACTCCCCCCCCCCCCCTCCTTCCCCCCCCCCCACAGCTGCACATACCCTCCCCGACCCTCCTGTGCCCAGCCACACACACCCTTGCTCCCTCCCCCACCTGGCAGCAGCCACTTATTTGCCTGGGGGGGGGCCTGCAACCCACAACTTCCTGCTGGCTCTGCTTGTTGGATGCGAAAGAGGAAGTGAAGGTTGGGCTTGCCAGAGGCTGGTGTGTGTGTGTGTGTGTGTGTGTGTGTGTGTGTGTGTTTCTCATGGCAGGCCACCTGCTCTGTGGCCACTGGGAGGTTAACTCTCTAACTCTCCCCCCCCTCCCCATGCTCTCTGCCCCATCTCAAGGGGAGGCCGAGCCTTACCTTGTGGGCAGCCTTGGCCGGCTTTCCAGCGAGCTTCCTGGCTTTTTTGTGGCTCTTCTCCAGCCTCTTCCTTTGCTGGGTCTAAAGAGCACAAGGGTCGGTGGTCTGCAAGTTCAGGAGCCCCTCCTCGGGGGCTTCTATCTCAGCACCAATGGAAGAGCCGGTTTTCCCGAGAGAGCCGGGGGTGGGTGGGGGAGGGAGGCAGTCTCCTCCTTGGGGCCCCTTGCATTGCCTGAGGCCAACCAACAAGGGGGGACCCAGAGAGGCCTCCTCGACCAGGCGGGGGAGCCGAGCTGCACCCACTGGGCAGGGCTGGGGGGTCTGAGCTGGAGCCCACCTTGTGGCCGGTGTCCAGGGAAGGCTTCTTCCCAGAGGTGGCCTCTTCTTGCCACAGGCGAACTCTGTGCTCCTGGAGGAAGGAAAGCTACGCCTGAGCTACGTGGCCCCCCTTTTTCAGCAAAGGGGACCCCCCCAGAACTGGGAGAGGCCTGAGGGGCCCGATACCAGCTCAGGTCCCCTCAATGACCCCCCTGAGCTCCCAGTCTCGGCCCTTCGGTTCTGAGCAGAGCCGCTCCCTGCAGACTCCCTTCCCCTTGGAGGGACTCCCCCGTTGGGGACCCTCCCCTGGCTGACCCCCAGGGCCTTTCCCGGAGGGGCAAGGGGGCTCCGACTGCTCAGAATCAGGGGCCCAAGCCGCCCCTTGCCGGCAACCCTACGGCAGCCACGCTTTCCCCAGGCCACGGGGCAGCCGCACCACGCACGCCTCTCGGGCACCACTGAAGCATTCAGAGGCCGCAGGAGCAGAAACGGGCGAGACACGGCGTCGGTTTTTGCTGGGAAACCGTGGCAAAGGTTTGGGGGCTGGGGGGCAGCAGCACCTGGAAAATCCTGATGATCTCCTCCAGCCACTGGCTGCTGCGTTTCCGCACGGCCTCCTTGGGGTCTTCCATCTCCACCATCCAGGAGTTCATCTCCTTGAAGAAGAAGTTGTGCGGGTCCTGAAGCCCCAACTCCTTGAACATGTCCTTAAAGACGGCCCTGGGGGGGAGGGGGGAGGAGCATGCCTTTGCTGGAGTTTCCTATCCACAGAATGCACACAAAGCCCACGGGGAGTTTCTCCCCTCCTTGTGTTGCCCTGCCACGAAGAGAATAACGGGGCTCCCTGCAGCAGGCAAGGCTCCACCCGGTGCCCAATGGCGCCACAGGACCCGCAGCAGGAGAGGGGCTTCTGGAGCAGCCCTAGACCCCTGCCAGGAGCTCCTCAGGGCTGCAGAGAGGCCAGTCAGCCATACCAGCAGAAGGGCACACGGCCCACCTGCCTTCCCTGCCCCTGGGAGAGGACTCAGCCACCCAGGCACCACATGCCACACCCAGCGGCCTCTGTCGCTTCCCACCTGCAGCCGGAGCTCACGGAGGGTCCAACCTTCCCCCCCCCAGAAGATCCAGGCTGGGATCCCCCTGCAGCCCCTGGGAGCTTCCCTTCCCCTGCCGTGCCAGGGAGCAGCTCAGCCAGGGAAGGGCGCTTTCCCAGGCAGGAAGCAGCAGGCCTGGTTCTCCCGCGAGGGCCTCACCGGATACAGGGAGGCGCCATCAGGTAACAGGTCATCAGCTCCACCATCAAGTCCAGGCTGTCCTTGTCCAGGTCCAGGAGGACGCGCAGGGCGGCCAGGATGAACCTCCTCTGGCTCTTTTCCTAGGAGGGGGGAGGGGGCGCCTCAGCCGGCAGCCCTCGTGGGGATAGGGGTCAGGGCAGGCCCACCTTTAGCTTCCTCCTTTCCCGGGCGGCTGGGATGCGGGCGGCTCCCTCGTGGAGCCCTCCTCTGCCAAGAGGGGGCCCTCCCACCGGCCCCCTCCTCACCCCCGCCTGCCCCCTGGCTCCCAGGGGCAGATCAGCCCCACCTGCAGCGAAGGGGTGTTGCCTTCCTCATTCAGCACTTCCAGCAGGGTGTACTGGATCCACCTCTTGGTCTTGTCCTCCAGCTGGTCCTCCAAGTAGCTGATGGCGCTCAGCACTTCCGTCTTGATGTGGAAGTCGGAGGTGACCAGCGCCTCCTGCAGCTTCCTCACCAGGGACTTCAAGGGCATCTCGGGGCGGATACCCTGTGGAGACGGGAGACCCACTCAGGAGGCGGCGACGGCGGCTGGGGCGAAGCTCACCTGGGGGGGCGTTGACGTTGCAGAGGAAGGGGCCATCGCAGAAAAGGCCCACTGCCCAGAGAGGGGACCCAGAACAGACCTCTTCTGCTTGGACGGATGGGACGGGCAATCGGGAAGGCAACCCAGCCCCAGGCCAACATGTTGACGAAAGGGGGGCACACACCCCCATTCATAAGGGGGAGGATGCATTGGGCTTCCCACCTCAGCCAGCCCCCCCGGACTCCAACCCTTTGACCCCTCAGGGCCCTTCCAGTCCTCCGATCCACATGGTCCCCACTGCATATGGGGCTCGGCTGAGGCTGCCTGGTTTCTAGTCCAGTGTAACAAGCCAACATCACCATGGTTTGTACACAGGTTGAGAGGTCATCGGTGAGTTGCTCTTCGGTATCTGGAACGGGACTGGGGTCACTTCCAGGCTGAGCCTCAACGGGTGCAATTCTTCTTATAAAGGCAAAGGTTTCCCCTGCCAGGGGCGCCTGGCTCTAGAGGGAGGGGCTCATCGCCACCCACCCACCCCAGCTGAGAAGAGGCTTCAGTGGCCACGTGGCCAGCATGGCGATATACCATTGCTACCTTCCCACCGAAGTGGTACCTATTTATCTACTCACATTTGCATGCTCTCCAACTGTTAGGTGGGCAGGAGCTGGAGCCAGCAAGAGGAGCTCACCCTTTCATGCGGTGCTTGGGTCTTCAACCTGGGCGGTCAGCTTTTGCCTTTAACCACTGAGCCATCATGCCCCCTTTTCTATCAATGGAGGTCACTAACCCAAGACAGCCCCAAGGCCAGCCCATCCCCAAGAAAGACGGGGGGGGATGGAAAGTAAACGCTGTGGGGGCTAGGCTCCCTTGGTGCCCTCTCACCTCTGGGAAAAGATCCTGGAACCACTCTTGGTCCACGAAGGGCCAAACAAACGCCGGCATCGCCTCCTGTGGCTCTGGATACTGGGACTCATCCAGCTGAGTCAGGAAGACCCCAGGCATGCTCTGGAACCAGGGAGGGGATGGTGCGAAGGGAGCGAGTACATCCGCTGTGCCCTGGGTGCCCCTGACACCAGGCAGCCGCC